CTCCCTCTCGATATACGTTAGCTTGACTGAGTTTGTCATGTTCGGATGTCCGTTGCACAGCATCCGTATACACTGCTGTGCAAACACAAACTGCATTCCTTGGGCTTTTCTTCAAGCGCTGAGCACGCTGTGAGATGCTGTCGGTTGCTACTCCTTTGATGGGCAGAAAGACGAGCAAGTTGAGCGGTGAGGCTTCAGTTGGCGTGTTTAGGGTGTGAATCCCTATTTTTAGAGCTGTACCCTCTTGGTAGGAATTTTCAGAGTTCGATGAGGATACACTTCGTGCTTAGACATGGTACGCGCTTGGGAGAACACAAAATATTGCATAGTTCTGCCAGTAGTTGACCACTCAGATTACGCCCTTGACCGCTATGGACGGATTCAGACACTCCGTGTTGACAGATGCGGTGCTCAAATGCCACTGTTAGTACAGGCTTGGAGCCCCACGTCTTTAGAGGTTCTGCCTCGGCCACTTTGGCGAAGTCAATCGTAGCTAGAATGCATCTGAACACTCTCTTCGTGGTTGTAAGTGAGTTTATAATGTCCACAACCTCTCTCTCGCTTGGAAATCGCGTATGCTGGGTCGAGAAGGCGGGATTTCCCAATGCTGCTAGAAGGGGAGCAGGTATGACCAAAATCAACAACGCCTGCAGTGAGTGAGAACAACAAATACCATGACCTCAAATGGCTACCACCCTTTCGTTCATGTCGTCCAGGGATTGATGCAACTCTTGGAGAAGCGTTCACAGTTACAAGGTCAAGAGCATTAGATACCTCAGCAACACGGCGTCTTCTTGATGCCTTTTAGGCAGAGTTGCGATCATTTTTTTGTCAAATATGCTTGGTTGCCTTGTTAGGCGAGGTTATCTCACTCGATGTGGTCTCATAAGGGATTGTCAAGGGCCTCTCATGTGCTCCTTTACTATGGCTCTCTACTTCCTTCTGTGAGGTTTGTAAACCTTTATGATGCGTAAAGCCAAAAGGATTTGTCCATCGCATAAATGAGTCAGTTTGAGGCCTCTTGAAACAGGTTTCAACAAGGTACAGCTTGCTATTGAACTTATGAAATTAAAACAACTTTCATTTTCACTACTTCGCTTGTTATTATAGCAGGAAAAAAGACCACCATGCGACATAACTTTTGCTAATGCACCCCGATACAATTGATTTTCTTTTCCTAAGATGAACCACGTGCATGTAATTTGCGGCCGTCCTCGTGTGCAACCGATGCCAATTTCGTACCTGCTGGAAGGATTGACTCGTTCAACCATTGTGGTCGCGAAGGCAGGTTGCACTCATTTGTAATCCTTGGTACTTTCATGCTTTTGACTTGTACATTGATCACAGCGACTCGAAAAGCTAAATACTACTAGCAACTGTTTGCATTAGAAATCATGTACTGAAACATTTTAAAACTTCATGTAGAAACAGTAACATTATTTGAAAACACACATTTTAAAGATACTTTACTGCGTTGTTCTCGTTCCATGACCTAACCGACCAAGTGATAATCCAACAACTAACATTATCAAAGCATCTAAGGACTAGACCGATGGGACAAACGTTGCCATTTGTCAGTCTTAGAGCGTGTTTTGGGTCCAGCGCTGCGCCTGTTGTGTGATTCGGATTACTCTCTGATTTGTCGAAAAATAGGTGCCTTAAAAATCGGGTGTCTACAACAAGATCGTATCCCGTTTGCGTTAGTCACGCCTTGGCAGCATGCGTGCAAGGCGACTTAAGAACGGCTGGGTTAAAGCCATTTGCAAGGATACAGTAAGTGGTCCGATTGAGATGAGGCTGTTTATTTTAAACACCATTGACCCTACGGTCACTTTAAATCGAATATTAGAGCCACTTAGATCAAAAAAGCAGGATAATACGGACTTTCCCTAGAGCTCTTTTCAACCGGCCTTGATCATTTAGCACATTAATGTAAAGCTCGTCGTTTCCGCTTTTTTTGTCACATCAATAAAGTAAGTACTTAGAGTTGCGCCAATTTTTGTTACGAAGGTTAAAGCGGTGTTGGAAGATATGATTTGACGATACCTTATCAGGTCATCAGCAGCGTGATGACAGAAAAGGAATCATTATCACGAAATCAATTTAGTCGATTTCGATTTATCGATCAATAACCAATAATCACAGTTAGTGTGCATCAACTTATTTCTTATTTCATTCAAATGAGCATGCTTTTATACTTCGTAATTTCTACGATAACGACAAGGTCTTCTGCCTACCTAGATCTTCTAGATCTGGCCTTGAAGTTACCAGAACAGGGCAAGTTTGAAGCCTACCAATTCACCTCCTTTGATAGCATTAAAGATCCAAAATACAAAAGCTTTCGTTATGGATTTCCGCCCGGAATATACGGTTCATCAGTTATACCAACTACACTGTGGTTTTTCCATTGGAGTTCACAAGAACCGTTCCGTAAGTATTTCAACCGGATTCTCTGCAGCTAAGTAACCTTAACCTACTTATTTGATGGAATTATCTTTTGTTTGCTACGGAGAATAATAATACATTCCGTCTCCTTAATTGTCGCCAATTTATTTTGGTCCGCCTCCTCAAGTCAGGGTCCCCAATTTCAATACCATGCTGCCTGTCCCCGCGGACTGGCTACTCATCGTGCGTTCCTGCGATGAAATTACCTTCCCTCGCTGTTCATGGGCACATTTCGTCAATTTGGCCCAGCCACTACAGATTGACTTGGAACTCTTTCAGCTCTCTAGATCAGCGCCGGACATCTCCACTGAGGACTCCGTGCCATATCTCCACGGCAATTGCTGGCCTATCCGATCCGTTGAACAAGTCAGCATTATCTACATCTATGCTGCGTGTACTGTTTATTGGAATGTTTCAGGCTTCGACAGACAGGTTCGAGTTGTTTTTCGGCCTAACAAACAACCCAAATGCTCCACATTACCTTTTTGCTTCATTATTATCCATGCATCGTATTCATCCTTTTAATAGCAATGTCGGGACCAAAACCGATTTTTTTTAGATATGCCCCCAGCCATGTGCACTGAGACCATGCTCTGTCTTGCCATTTGCTCGATCCGGATCATGTAAGGCCTTGGGAATTCATGTACGCGACTTCAAATGCGAATGCACAGAAGTAAGAGAAGATGTTTGGAACTAAATATTTTGTCGAATCTGGTAAATCTTTGTGATCACTACGACACGTTTCTCCTGGTAGATATTAATAGTTGGCAGTTAGCAGAAAAAAATAGTAAATAAGACTAGGATAGTTGAGGTTTCGACTGAGGCAAAAACTGAGCAATAAAGTAAAACTGTTACATGTTGTGGCTAATCACTTGCACAGTTTCGCTGCCGTACTTCTTGTCCATTATGCACATACCATTATTATTTTTAATGTCGATGGTTATGGTTTTTTATGGAAGGGTTTCACATGGGACCGAAACACATTTGCGTGCATTTCCGAAAGTCGGTGCGAGAGGTTTTGCCACCCCTCACAAACTGCGACCTGTGAACAAGATCCGAAATCAAGTTAAGTCTTAGTTCGAAAATGTGTTTATGCTGCAAAGCATAAAATGCATATTAATATGAACTTTGGTTTTTTGTAGCCACGATAACTTGCGTCTGTCGTCTTGGCTACATGGGCCATGACTGCTCTCAACTACTAGATGCCTGCCTCGTTGGGTCGGAGGTGTACTATGCCTCTGAATTGGGAGGAGCCAAACCGATAATCCCGCCAGGTCGAGAGGCCTGCGGTGTGCGGAATAAGTGCATCCCTCACCTCGGCACAACGAGTTTTAGCTGCCAATGCAGCGAACACTTTGCTATGGATCGTGGATTGCCCTACGACAATTGCCTTTCTAGTAAAGACCCCTGTTCTAGTCGAATATGTGTTGAGGGTACCTGCACCGCCTCGGAGGTATGTAACTGGGAGCATTGACGGTAGGGTCGCCTTGGAAAGTTAAGTTAGGCTGTTTTCGGCTGTGACAATGACGTTGGGGTTGGCGCCAGAGTGCCTATTACTTATTTTGCTATCTTATTAACCTTAACATCAGTATGTTAACATACCGTAGGTTGAGTTTACTCAAGCCCCTGTGGGGGTTTAGGTTGTCTTGATTTCTAATGCACTTATGACGTGAGGTGACTTTTACCGCTGAGGTCCATAGAAAAAAATGCAATCAAATTTAATTTTGTATATGAGGTTCGTTTGACAGAGGAACCAATATAAGTAAATTTTTGATTAAGGATGGTTCCTGGAGCATTTGCGACTGCGAGGAGGGCTTTACAGGGCCGATGTGTGAGGAGGCTTTGGGTCAATGGACCACCTGGTCCGCATGGACGTCCTGTGAGCCCTTCTGCGGTAGCCATCGCCTCCGTCATCGCATCCGCGTCTGTTCTGGTGATCGTGAAGAGGATTGCATTGGTGCTGTAGAACAGGTCTATATTGACTAAGTTTATTAAGACTTGCAGTTATTTATGTCACCGGGACTAATGAAAGAAGATGGGGGCTAGTTAGATTCAATGAACATTTATGCTTTACCAACGAGGATATGGGGCGGAATGTAGTCAAGGGCGCAATACATCAGAGGACAGTAATCACATCGTTTACGACAAAAGGCACTTATTGTAAATCGCATCAAAGGAGCCTGTGACATGGCACCTTCGATGCTTACTTTGCTATATATCTGTTTGTAGAGTTGTTAGCTCACAAGTGCTGGCTCTCTGATAAAGGCGCTAAGCAAACGCTTTTTTATGCTATTTTCAGAGCATCAGTCGGTCGTGTACTGGGGTATTTTGATTGTCTTTCATTCCTTAGACTTTCGCCTAATTTAGCGATAAGGAAAACCCATTCGAGAATCTAAATCGGTGAGTATCCTCTCTTATCGAAGGTGGAATCGTGTCCGGAAGGTGAGCCCTGTCCACAGATGCCATCTCCAGACGAGGCAGAGTGGAGGGACTTTGTCGACTGGTTTTGCATTCTCCTATCAGCGACCACTGTCTACATGGGCCTTTTGCTCCTTGTCCTTACTATCCTCTCTCTCTGTAAACCCGTCGCAAATATCGAGGAGACGTTGAAGACAACGGATCAGTGTAAACTTACGTCACCGAACAGTAAAACACGATACAGTGGAGGCGACTGACCCAGAACAAGACAGCAATGTTAAAATTTTTAATTAAAGATCCTTGTTTAACTTCGTCTTGGTATATATGAGCCTAAAGTCGAAAAATTAAGTGCGAACAGTACAATTTCTCATGCACACCATATAATTTACGGAGTATAAAGAATTTTAATCAAAGCAGAGGTCGAACGGATTGCATAAGGCAATTTTAACCTCACAATTTTCTCACTTTTGCTAAAGGATTCGATTATTGCACAATATGCAGTGTTTAAATGAACAAAATTGAAAAGGCCTTAGAGTTAATGAAATTAAAACTTTTGTCGTAAAATCTGGGTCATCACCCCAATTCCGCGTTCCACATAGCGCTTACCACCAGCTGGAGCGACTGCACACAACGTTTAGTTGGGTCAGCGCACGATGCGCCCTCAACGTCACCCACGCGTATGACACCCGGGCAGTTTCCTAGGCTGGTGGGCGCATAAGCGAAAATGGATGGATGACATGGCAGAACGTTGACATTTGTCAACTGGCTTCACTCCATAACCACTTTCCTTACTTTTGGCCACTGACGCACGACAAGACTGTCTTACACAGCGTCGTCCGGTCTTGGGCAGCACGAAACTCATGCATCAGTCCATCCCCTATTTAGCTCATTCAAAAGGACGAGCTTTTGGGATTGTTGGAGCAGTTGTGAACTCAAATGCATTGTCATGCGTGGAAACACCGAATGACTGACACTGCCGGTTCACAGATGTGTTTCACAAGCCACCGACCACACAGTGATGGCCGGTGCAGAGAACTGGTCAGGACAGACGCAGCTACGGGTTATTCGACAGTTGGCGTTCAGCACTGTCCATCCAAGTTTCCCCCCTACTCGGAGGCATTGTAGTTGATCATGGCAACAGTCTTCTACAATGGTCCCACAATTACAACCTCCACGCCGGTGATCTCGTTACGCACTGGGTGAATCCAGAGAACAGCACTTGCTTTGCCTACCACATTAGTTCATATTGAGTCGTGCTAATCCGTAAATGCAGCTGCTTTCATTTTTCTCCCTTAACCAACAAATATATTGAACAATTTTCGAGCCTTATTTTGTGTTGTGTAAATGCTCTTGAATTGCTATTACAAAGAAGGAACGAAGATTTTAGCCTTTCTAATTTATAATAACACATGGTTAAGCGTTGATATGCTAGGCTTTTGAGGCCTTTTTTAGCTATTCATATCTTTGCAGTCGTCTCCAGCTTTTTTGTACGCATCTATGTCGTCATTTCGACGGACTTTTTAAAAAGAGTGGGTTCTCTGTGACATTGAAGGTGTTTGTGGGGTAAAAAGTATGGGGTCGGTAAAAAGAAGCTGATGATTGAGTCGCATTCATGCCTTAGTGTCTGATAATCACCGTTCTTCTGACTACTCACTATGAGAATTCCCGAAAAGCTTTTTTTCTCGCGGATCTGTGCTCTACCCACCAGGAGACTCACGAGTGCGGCTACTTTGTAATTCTACCACCTCGGCTCAATGCATGCATGCACCCGCCCCGAAGGCGTCGTTTAAAGTCGCTTTGGTTAGAATGGAGGCACTTCTGCTGTGTGTAGAGTTCGGAGGAAGAGAAGTGCGTTCCAAATCATTGCAAGTCTTTAAGTGAAGTGTTTTACCAATTTCACGAAAATGCAGATTTCCGTCGCCGCCCCAAAGAAATAAATTTGTACAGATTGAAACCAATGCTTTAGTCCGTACGTACGACCTGGGTCTGGATCTTGTATGTCTAATTCCACACTGAATAATCATAGAGCCGAGTTTTAGAAGTGAAATTCCGTACGTCAGGTTTAAAATTCGCAAAAAAAGTCATTTGCACGAAATTTGTAAGTATACTGTCTCCACTAATGACTTTTTTGGCTACAATGGGCTGTTTCAAACGTTTTAAGAGGTCTAGGAAAGGGGTTCTAGTTAATCCAACAAACAAGCTTATGTGAACATCCATGTTCGTCAATTATTTAAAGTGCATGTGCCTTTTAATGAGTGGGGTCTAAGCATATTCTTGAATTCAATAAAACTGTACGATTCTATAGAAAACCGCTACTAAGCTCTGTAACTTATCATTCCTTGACAGTTTTGCTAGACAAAAATCTGACAATCGATTCGGGCTCGGAATCAGCCGCCTACTTCTCGCTTGAAGTAGCTGCGAGCCTCGGATGCCATCACTGTCACCATTCTTATACTGACGAGCGCAACGTTCGCCTACTTCAATGTGTAAAGTTTCTTGTTTATGTTTATCTTCAAAGCATTCTCATGAGGCCTACTATCGTCTGTGAATGCTACCTTGGAGAGCTAACCTAAACACAAACAACTAACGACACAAATAACCAAATTTTATTTCTTGAAGTCACAGGCACATAACATTTTGAGTAAACTTAGGTCCTACTAAATTAAGGGACCATACTGACTGGCACGGGCGTAGTTAAACTAGACTAGAACTTCTAAGTCTTTAGCCTGGAAAACGGAATTACGCCTTCTAGTGGCGTGAACACGCCTCTTACTTTTACAGACGCCCTTTGCAATATTCCCTTGGTCATAAGCGGCTTAGACTCAGCAAAGTTCGTTAGTGAAACTGAGTTGCTCTAATCTGATTATTAAACAGCATTTTTTAAATGCTTAGCATATGACTATCCCGAAACTGCGTATCTGCCCCTTAGCACAATTTTATGGCTGATTTAACCCGGACTAGGTGTTCCGCAGTCAATGTACATGGAGCTGGCTGATATCTCCTACTTCTGGGTCCACCGTTGATGTCGGCAGTTTATATACTTGATCACTCCAGGATAAGGTCTGAAATTCTACTGCCGACTGCCTACTTGATAAAAAAGGAAATTTTTACCTATTCTCAATTCACGCACTGGCTACAGTCACACGTTTTATTTCCCACTGTTGTGTGCTTTATTCCCATCGCAGGTGTTGCTTTAAGACCGATAATTTGAAAGTGTCGACGTAGTCTCAATATATGAATGGGAACGTCTAAAACACATCAAAAAATCCAGTAAAAATAAAAGCATGCAGTCTCTAAGGCGGCAGCAGTAACACCAAACTCACTGATTCGATCAAAGAAGGGATAAAAGCTCATAGAACTTCGCTAATACGAGGCATTTGCCCATTACACTCCAAAGGTGGTAGCGATCTAACAGAACGTCTTCAGAGAGTCCTGGATGCAAACTATGCATGCATTTGGATTGCTTTTATTTTGTTCATGGCGCCATCCATGGACGAGTATGCGTTGAATGCTGGGATTGGGACCATGCCGGCCCGCATGTGCGGTTCATACCTGTCACTACAACAGTGACAGTGGGAAGGATGATAAGGTGGAAATTGCTCAAGCAAGTTTGCCAAACTTGAAGAAAGTGTTTGAAGTAATAGCAGCACTAGCTGCGTTGTGGTTGATCTTAGTAATACTTTGTTTATATGACTACTTGCATGAATGGCGGTCATTTTAGCGAACATCTTGCTTTTGGTCGCGTGAGCTGGCCTTTGGGCCAGGCCATAGCCTTGCTTTCTACTCTTTCTATCCAATCTTAAGTCTTCAGCCTTCTATCACCGAAAAGAAAGTCTTATGGTATTATACTCAGTATCGTCCTTTTGCACCCGTAGCAACACGAGTCTTACATTCGGTTAAAAAAGGTTCACTATCTTTACAATAGCTCCGAAGCATCGCAATTGTCACTTAATCCATAAACATTTGCTTCATCAAATTGACAGATAAAACGCAACTAAATGATAAGAGCGCATGAGCAGGATTTCGTAAGTTTTTTAAAAGACTTCAGAATTTAAAGCTAATCTAAAAGTCCTCCTTAGTTACGTCCCTTGTGTTTGCAATTGTCATGACTTTAGCAATCGTATTTTCTGGTAAAGGAGAAAACTTGATGCTTTCGTGAAATTCCAAATAAATGTGAGGCGCAGCCGTTTTAGGGGTGATGCCCCAAAATGAAGTACTAATCTTACCGCCAGCATCATTAAAAAACGGGTTGTTTAAGGCACAATTCAGTCTATAGTAAAAAAAAATTAAATTGGCTTATGTTACACACTTTCGACTTGAAGTCTGCTACTGTGGTTGAATGATTGATCGGCAGAAGGACAGTCCATTACATTCCAAAACTTGAGGAAAATGCTGATTACAGCGCAGTCTGTCCTTTAGTCACGCATCTTTGTCACTGGTTAAAAGTATGCTGCACCAAAGTCAATTATGCAAAGCAAAAATGCGTGACTTTTACGGCGTCCAATGCCTTCAGGTCTATCACGTTCCTAGTGGTTCGGGGGGTTCGCTGTTCCCCTGACTTTTACGTAGGGCAAGGCGAGGTTCTCTACGATCCATGCAAGCTAGAGTATCTCCAAACATGCCTCAACTTAGGTAGAAAAAGCCTAATTATTATTTGAATCATAACATATTATTCCTAAATTAGATAGGCAAAAATTGTTTTTGCAGGTGCATTTCCTCGTGTACGCCGCATAAAATTGGAAGTACACTTTTCAGCACTTTCATCCCACATGCACGACGATCCAGACGTTCGACCTGCTCGTAAACATATACATTAAACTATACGTCTATAGCATTTTGTTGAGTTTTTACACAATACGCATGTAGGACGGGGAGTGCCTGGGCAAGGGTCCAAAGCCGATCAGTTGTAAAGATCACATAACCTTAAGGCGGAATGGCTATAACATTTTAACCTCTTCTGAGGAGGTTCCGATATCTACAAATGTTGTAAAAGTCCACGTGTTGGATGTGAACGGGTGTCAATAAACTCTAGGTAAACATGATTACTCAATGCAATGATAAGTATTGCACCTCACCGCTCAAGAAAGGCATGCACTTATGGTTGTCTACGGTGAAATCTCTGCAAAATATGTTGAAGAATCTATGCGACGTTACGAGTGTACTGTTCATAAAAATTGCATTACGCAACCTACGCTTCAGTCTTATTTGCACCGCTTTCCGTTCGGCCCTGTGGTGGACATGGCCAGAGGTAGAATACACGCGACGGGCTCATTGGCTTAACTTTACGCAAACATGCACATGTACACGTATGCACAATTGTGTCCGGACAGAGAAACGGTATGTAGTACACTGGTTGGAATCAGACTGTTTAAAGGTTCCCTCTGTCACACCGCATACAGACACACAAATACGCATTTGCATCTCAGCTCCGAATGTTCTCAAAACTCCTTGTTCTTTTCCTTTTCCTCCATTGTACTTTGGAAGAAAAGCGAAAGGTTGAGGAGGTAGGAGGAGGTAGTGCTATGCGGCTAAATTCATTGCCCTGATTTACGAAGGGACCGCATTAACTACAAACGAACTCATCTATTTCAGACTCCTCTCAAGGAGCGGTGGGCTGCACCATATCGCCAGGAAGAAAAAAGCTTAGCATCCTTCCAGGCAGTGGATGGGATAATCTGGTGAACGAGGAGAGAGGACTCACTACTAATCGAGAGCTCTACAAGATGTGTCGTACATCGGCTGATGGGAACTATCTTATTCCTGACGACATGATAATTGGCGAGTTGAATGACTCTCTCTTCTGTGCATTTTAATGCATTTATGAGGCATGATTGGCTTTAGCTTTTTAAACACATGTATGACAGTTTGTGGAGGTAGAAAAATTGCAATTTACTTAGAATGTTCAGAGAAAGTGGCAGTATGGACCTGTGCTAAATAGCCGAGCACAATGAATGCTTGCATTCAAGTGTGTTCTCCATTCCACCAATAACCAGGGCTAAAGTTTGCGCTGCTTGTTTCATTGCAGCTGGAGAAGGTAAGGAAATTGGCTTGTTAAAGTATGAATGGTGTAGTTGTCGGAGTAAAAAACGTGAGTGATTAAGCCTTGATATATCAATAACTGTATTTAGTCTTAATTGAACGTTGCGTTATTGCAAGGGAATGGCATGAACTAAAAATTAGACTGCAAAACCAGAATAAGTCAATTTTGAGCATATTTTAGGTTCGTGGGGTAGAATTATTTGTCGATTAAATGAAGTGAAGCGGTCCCACAATCCAAACAATGGACTATTTACAGCACTTCATGGGAGCTGATGTCGTTTAGTACTTCAAGCCTAGGATTACCTCAGACATCCTTATTTCGTTAGAATGGTACGTATTTTAGACTAGAGGCTTTTCTTAAACAGGCTGATTTTGATTCGGCGGCTTAACTGCGATTTGAAAGCACATGGCTACAGTTCTATAAGGAGGCGCAAGACACTTTACATTTGTAAATAAGACTTAAATGAAATGAATAAATAACTTAAATAACTGGAGCGTTCCTCTCTTCATATACCTTGTAAAAACAGCAATTTCTCGACTTTCCGTAGAGCCCATTAAGAATTCTCAGATTGAACTCTCCTCGAAAGTCTTTACCCACTTCACAAACTACACTACACTTACGGCCTTTTCAATGAACTCGGCTGCAGACGTCAAACTCCACTTTGTTTCTGTTGGGGGTGACTTCTCCTTTGAAAAGGACGTTATCAGGAGAGCCGAAGTAAGACTCGTGTCTTGCGCCATTTATTTTCATACGTTTCGTGGCTTTTAGATAAGCCTCTTCAATCTCACGAGGTCTCCTTCACTGCAAAACCTCGGATACTGTTTTGCAATACAAAATTCACTTAATATTATGGGAAGCAAAATCACAAATTTCTGCAACTTTGTGGTAAAAACTTCTATGGTTTCCTCACGATATGCCGGAGTGCATGCTGCAATTCAAACATACGAAAATGTGTACCCTCTTCTCGTAACCATTTTTATCACGGTTTCCCACATGATAAAAAATCTGCTCCTTTTACTGAATCCTGTTAAAGTACCAGGTCTACCCTTGAAGGCATTAGAGAGTTTCAGTCTTAAAGTGACTTCATTAAATGCTCAAAAAGCTGTAGCATTCAAATATGACTTGATCGTCGCACTTTTGTTTAGAATCAAAACAACGGTCTGACAGTAAGATCCCAATTGCGGCACCGCTGGTACGTTGTACACCAACTTCCCGATCCACAGCTTCATCCGCGATTTCGAAATCGACTGTTGGATATCGCAGCCCATCTGGCACGCAGTAACATCACTGAAGGGGGTGACGTCGACGGTGATGCGGCACGCATTAGAGGAACCGACCTTCTCTCGCTAGTAGGGAAGGACAGTGTCGGTCTGCTTGCCACACCCTTGGATCCTCTTACGGTCGAAGAAAACAGACAGGCCATGGTTCGTGTAATGGACAGTCTCCGCGCCGCGTACTTAGCCGACCTCATTGTCAGGTGAGTGCACAACTGACACAAAAAGTGAAGGATCATTGAAGTGCTGATGTAGATTCAATTAGGTGTCATGATGTGTGTAAACCAATCGTTTGCTCTCATTCAAATCTCCTTTTCCCGCCGTCATATGATAAAGGAGTTATAACAAGCTTTTTGCCTTGCTACGTTCGAGGCGGGTAAAGACATTAAGCTAATCAGAACTCACCAATATCTGAGCACCATGTAAAGTGGGAACAGAGCTCTTTGTTCTCCCTCAAATGTGCAGGGGTGCGAGTGCAATACCAGTAACTTCGTCATGCCATGTGGTAAACCAACAGTTTGTACTAATAAATCCGAGGACTTCTTTCACTGCTCCAGTGGGGCATTCAGTTATTTAGAGGATAAAACGTTATTTTTGCCTATTTGTTCAGAGACTTCGGAACCCACACTGTGGTGGCTGTTGAAGCTGGAGCCGTTGTGGCTAAACTTGATAGCCTTACCAGTTCCAGCAGAAAGATGAGTAACGAAGATAGGCTGGAGGTCGAAACCGCTGCCTCGACATCTTTTGCCAGCCTTTTCGACTTCAGAACAGCAACTAAGTTTGGTGGGAATCAAAAGATGGTGAGTGAGCTTATGCTTGGTATGCTGTCAGGATCATTTTATAAACAACTGAGTGACTGATTCTGTAAAGCGATCTTTACTACAATGTCTGCCTTGATTCTCATTGTATCAAGAGAAGGGCTTCAGACAAATACTAAACTTTGGCATTTACCATTTAGATGGAGAACTATAATTCAAAGGTGGCTTCTAGTGTTATCTTGAGCTATGGTGGGCCCAGTATCAAGGTGGGTAACATGAACCTCACAGAGTGGGAAAGGCATCTGGAGGATCATCTTGTAGCAGTAGACCGTCGTGGACGACCACTTTACGACCTCATCACGCCTCGCGCATTGCCTGAGCTTAGTGAATCGCTCACATTTCGCCTTGCAGCAGCAGTAAAAGCTGCAGTAATGCGCTACTACGAGGCGAATTCCTTGATTGGTGAGTTAAGGATCTTAAGTGTACCAAATATCAGTAAACGTATTTAACGAGACGATCAAGCAATTAAGACTTCCACCTAAACACTCAAACTGCCATTATCACTCCATTCTCGTTCACTCGGTTTCCATATGCATGTTTTCGACGAGAAGCAAGATTGCAGTTATATCACCTTGCGACGAATGCGCAAAGAGTTTAACCCAGATGTAAAATTAATGCTGTTTATGGTTGACAGCTTGAGCCATGTATGTATTGTAGCAGTACACAGTATCACATTCAGGTCTATAAAAGTGGATCAAGTTGATGCTGATGCTATTTAGTTATGTGAAGTAGCACTGCGAATTCGTGTTTAAAAGGAATCTTATGTGGCACACATTGCCAGAGCATGATATTTAGCATACTGTATTCTATTACATCAGGCAGGTGAAATTTAACTCAACACTGGGTCTTGACTAAACCTCCTCGCAAGGATTGACACAGGCTGATGTTTCAAATAGCATGTGAATATGAAATGATTTAGGATGTCTTGATCCTTCATCAACTGCCTACGACAGTGACGCCAACGTGGCTGCAGACCACTGCGACGACTTTTCTCACCAGGATCCTCCTACGGGCAACGAGAGGGGACAAATGCCTTTCGGAGGAGTTTATACAACATGCAAGGGCCCCAATGACCTCTGCTTACGTTACAGAGCACCCAACTTGGCTACTGGCAACACCTCCTGCCCAAAGGGATATATGTCGATAAATCTCCTGCCCTCACAGATACGCTCCTGCGCAGTTACCTGTCAGGATCGCGGCGTCTTCCAAGAGCCTCTGTGCCTACACGAGTGTGCTGTCACTAGTGCCTTCTGGTGCGCTCTCGATCCTTCCACTAAAACCGATGAGAAGAATGAACTCGGCTTCCTCTTTGGCGGCTTATACACTGACACTACGACGAATCCAATAACCAAGGCGCAGTCCTGTCCTCCATACTACGAAGTGCAGTCCGTGGGTCGGCGCATTCAGGTCTGCGTGTCCACTGACTTTGAAATGGGACATCGGTACTCTCTGGCTTTTGGCGGATTCTACGCCTGTCAGTCGGGGAATCCGTTGTATGACGTGCTCTCTCTCAACTCTAGTTTGCTGAATAGAATCCAGCAGATGAGAAGGGAGTTGCATGCGGGCTTGCAAATCGGTCAAAATGATAGTAGCGGAAATGCAAGTGTAGAAGACCTCGATATCTTATGGCCCAAACGGTGTCCTAATGGGTATACGTCTCACATGGCTGGAATAGAAGACACTTGTCTTGTGAGTAGCGTGGAGGTGCAAGTGTTTTGTGATTTTGGCAATTGCTTGATCTCTATTTCAAAATTATGGTAAACACCAGTGTACATGTATTACTAAGTTACCTTTATTATTCAGAGATCTAAACTCGTTGATGAAGTACTTTCTACCTCTTTGCCATTGAACACATTTGTTCTACTTTTGTGGGACAAAGTTCTTTGGTAGCAGAATGTATATTTACCTTAATGGAACCATGTGGCGCATGTTCCACCGAAATGCTTATGTTTGGTGTAGTCATGTTGTTTCGCCTTTTAACCTGCATTGCTCATATAAACGCGGTTCGCATAGATGTAAACATGGTTTATAACTAGCATACTTGTGGATGAACAAGACTTTCGGACTTATTTAGATAAACTACTGCATTCCTGGCAATTCAATGAAAGCAATAAAAGAACGTACACTCAAGCGACCCCCATTCGTACAATTGGTGAGTCATTTCACACACTTTATAGTGCACTGCATTAAAAACAAAGTGCGTATCCAACACTAGCTTTATATCAAACGAGTACGCTGGCATGGTCATATGAGTTGGATAATGATCAATTGCAGCAAATCTCGTTTCGAAATGATTTGAACAGTTTGAAACAACGTAACTAACATAGAAGTTCTCTTATCAAACGAGACCAATTCGACAAAAAAATAGTAGCAATCGATGCCTCGTTACAATAGCAAGATTCTACACTTTGATAGTTTGTTTTCTTCATCGGATCTGGTAGCCTGTTTGAGCAATACTTTGCTTTAAATTCCAACATCTTTGTTGCTTTAAGCCGAACTTTGCGAGCGTTGCAACACCATTAGATCTTCGACTGGCTGATACATACTCCGGCCGAACCTTTCACAACCAAGGAGGCGAATGGGTATCGGATCCAACTGAGGCTGAGTCAGTTGATATGAATACAACAGCCTTCTTTATCCTCGCCATCGTCATAATCGTGGTCCTTTTCGTGGTTGTGATGGGATTTGTCATTTACCATGTTTACAGGCGGGTGACACACTCAAGGCGACGAGGTCCATTCAATCCGACCGAAGTGTCTACCGCATAGCGCATACTATATGTAATATCAATTCTAAGAGAAATACTGGCAAAAATAAAGTGACACGTTCTGCATGAAACTTAAGTAATCAGTTCATGAGAATCTTTGGTATTTGTAAAACATCTCTACTAATAATGGTAATTCAGCTTTATATTGCATGGCAAGTTGTATTGCCATGTACCCTTGCTAATCTATCAGCGTGAGTTGAGATGGATGATTGCAACGTTGTTCTCCATACGCTGTCGTGATTAAAAAATAATGGTGACGGTACCCACTGGTTTGTGGCCATCGCCATTTCTCACATGTTTAATCAATTCGACCATGCTGCCATCTTGCTAATGTTTATTTTAACAAGCTGAATTTACTACCTGATTCAAGGGTGGACAAGCCTTGGAGACACTTTGCAATCTGTTTCGAATGCTGGCACATGAAAACGTCCTTCACACAGAGCATCAGTGCTAAATTCTCAAAGCAACATAGAGGAGAGCGATTATCTAACTATGTCCGGAGGTCTGTGCATTGACAGAAGCACACTATCATGGTAGGAGGCAGACACATACATACGACATCAAACCTGACCTTAATTCACATACCCTTTTTCCGGAAACTCCGCACGACCTTTCCAAAGTCGTCACTTTCGGTAATTCATTGTGATCGATACGGCAACGAAGACTAGACAACAATGCTATACACGTATTAAATCAGACCCACTCAGTTTTAGAAGTATGGTAGAAATAAACGCAGATTCCTTCCAAAGCAAGCTAGAATTCAAGATGTCAAATCAGTCTAAGAGATAATTAAAGAATAACTAAGGCAATCGAGACCACCAGAAGCATCCCAAATCTGAAAATCTAATCTAATCAATTAGTACCAGTTAAGCGAAAACCATAAGTCGTGAAACTAAACAGTTTACAAGACTACACCGGTCTGATTCTTTCCAAAATATGCATAACTTTCCAAACATTGTTCGACTTAAATAAAAAAGGCACGTAAAACGCTCGCTGCAATCTAGTGAAAGCTCTTTGGAGTAATGATTCTGCTGCGTTTGAAGGCGGTTGATTTCGTTCCAGAATGGGCCTAGTGAGCAAAACACGCCAGGTTCTTGCATCATTTGAGTACTGCACCTCATTTTCCCCAGGTTCTGAGAGACGATCAAGAATATAGTCACATTTCTCAAGGTTAAAGAAAGTGTCTTCTTCGGGTAAATTCATGTCGTTGAAATGGCCGCTTAGAGATCGAGTAGCTTTGAAAACTCCAACTCCTTCGGCAAACTTCCCCGGCAGCTGACCGGAGAAATTAGATCGAAGAAAATGCACCCTCCAGCCGTAATTTTCATGAGGTAAGAGGAAGTGGCTGGGAAAATGATGCCAATCACGACCGATGCATAGCGTTTTTAAATTATCAGAAACCGGCAAGTGCTGGACGAGATACATAGGAGCGCTGTAGCCTTGTGTCAGCGCAAGAATTCTCGACAAGCTTAGCCCAACGAAGAGGAGCAGAAACGATATCACAGAAGAAAGAGACAAAGGCGTTCCAGTTGCAAATTTCCCACTGTGATTGAAAAACAGAACGCATAGTAGGAGAGTCACCACCAAATCCAAACAGGGGAAACATGGAAAGAGAAAGCGTTCCTCTTTATGCGACTGGATAAAAAAAACAACATTCCACAGGAGGAGAGGCATCAGGGCGAAGCAAAGCAACTTGAGGGCCCTTCGATGGAAGTTTGTAGCAGTTTGCCGTCCAATTCCGAGCACAAGGTAGGTAAACGCTGGCACCGTAAAGATTGTGACGAAAACAACTGCAATATTATAATTCAAAAAATAATTTATAACATAGTAGGCTGCTGTTTCTGTTCCATAAAGCTGCGAAAGACTCCGACCTTGAAGACTGGTAAGAGCATTATAAGAAATTATGTTCCATGTTGGGCATATCAAGCCCCCGTAATAGAAAGTGTCAACGAGTACCATTGGTGTAAGAAGAGCAAGGGCCCAAAGCACAGAGTACATTATAAGTTGGGCGACCATGCCAGAAGCAGCTAGGAAGAGTGCTAGAGGCACCCCGAGAACGGCTGAAAATGGCCATACAACAATAGCGCCAACAGCAACGGCACCCACACTGAAGAAGTACTGACCACTTATCCACGTGCTTAACATCAATGCAATCATAGAGGCAACCAAAGCACTCGGAACGCTTGAAGAAGCAGAAATGAAATTTCCGGGAGCGGCTACGTGAATTAGACAAAAAACAACCTTGAATGTGAGTTGCTTGAGGCCATCACCAGGATAGAGATATAGTGAACTTGAATGCGCCAGTAAGCTGGAAGATACAGCAGACACAAGGGACAAGATCAATCTAATCCCAAGTAATTGAAGCCAACCGGGTAACCTCAATCTAACCAAAATATAAGCAGGCCATCCAATTAACCACAAATATAAATATGAACGAAGGCCAAACTGAGGAGAGTACTCCCAAGTTTGAAATCCAGTATTGTTTGCGGTAGAGATGATAAATCCAAGGGGTTCTAGGTAATTAAACGTCTCGTCGCAATCATTTATATTATTCCAAACCGTTGAACACAATGCTGCAAAAATGCCAATCTTCAGATCCAACGTAAGCATAGCAGATAAATGACACCATCCAGCTCGCACTGAATCTACTAGGCACTAAAGGTAAGTAAAATTTGATACTTGGCCTTTAAGTGGTAAACATTGGAAAAATTTCTCCCGTTGCCTTAATAAAGATATTACACATTACAATCTCATTGAACTTTTGGCGTCTATTGTAAGGAACTTTTTAAGTTTCTTAAGTGGAATCATTTTGCGCCAACGTTTCTTCAGAACCATTTTTTTAAAGTAAGCCATTATTTTTGGTTTAAAAGTTGTAATATTATCAGATTCTGTGTCTGGCGCATTTCAGCTGATAAGCGGTAACCTTACATCACCCACGCGGCTAAATAGAAGCTGTTGATTCCAGGAAGGGGAGCGGGTCATCCAATTAGTGGGAAACTTTAATTGTCTGTATAGTTCGTAGGTTCATGCGATCTACCCCACCCTCCACTTTGAAGGATTGTATGAAAGGACTGTTAATTCAATATTATTGCTCCCCTAAAACTCCAGACAATGCTGCAATGCTTTGTTTATCTGGCGGCCTGACGTCTGGCGATTACTTTATGATTTGTCTTGCCCTTGTACACGTGAGCTGGCCTTCGGGCCATGCTCGGGCCCAATTGCCCTGTCATCCTCGGAATACATGTATGCAGCTGCACTTACTAACTTCTTGTACCGACTAGGAAGTCTTGGGACGTTATAAGTACCTTGGAGACCGCCATCGACTAGCTTTTAACGCCCTCCAAACATCCCTTGCTACCAATTTCTCCAGCTACATGGTTTCAGTGTTGTAGTCAACAGCTACACATAAGTTCAAGTGAAAATAAGGATCATCATCAAAATTAGCAGTTTGACATAAGGACTGCTAGGCAAAGTTGAGGTCGCGGCTTCCATCTTAGTCGTACGCATTGCTAAAAGGAAAAAGTTGGACACATTTTAGCAAATTATTTTCCATCGAAACATATTTATTGGGTACAAACATGATTGATTTTACTACTAGTTCAGAAATTCGTCAACGGTTCGATACAAGTTCTGATAGTTTCCCAGCTTCGCTGTCTCCAAATCGAATCAAACTGTTTGCATCTTAATAACCAAAAAGACATACTTGACACTGTGGAAGCGATTGTCAATCGAAGAGCGCGATGGTCGCCTAAAGACACACTCTTCTCCCTCGTTCGGATCGAAGATGGGGGGTGGAAGGATGAGCCTATCACATGGCACATTCCATATCTCTCGAGCATAGCTTGAAATTGTTCTATCAGAGGAGAATTTAGCGCTAGATGCAATGTTCAGCAGACACATGCGAGCCCATTTCTTTTGATCCTTAAAATTGAAATCAAATGTAGCGTTAATGTACGAAGTTAGAGCACCACATTCAAGTTGCAAACTAGCAAACAAACACTAAGTTGGAATTGATAAACAAAATTGGGATTCAGGCACTTGCTTTGTAAGTGTCTTCAACAGCAGCTTGGGCAATTAAATATTTAGTAAAGTCAGCACAAAGCATGTAATAGTCGCGATCAGTGAGCTCATCGTACAGTTCCTTGAAACGCTCTGGATCTTCAGGACAGAAAAAACCGCATTTTATTTGATCCAGGCACTCGCGGAGTTCCGGAGAGTTGGCGATGAACGATGATGGTTTGTATCTGCGTTTACAAAAAGAGTCACACAATTTCATAGATATCTTAAAATTATCGCGTCCTCAAAAAATCACCCAGCGCGCTTCAGATCGTCCAGCTCATTGACCGTGTGGCCGAAGATAAACATATTCTCATGACCAGCCTCCTCGGCCATTTCAACATTTGCTCCGTCAAGAGTACCAATCGTAAGGGCTCCATTCATCTGATGCAGAGACAACAAATTTACTAGTCATACTCTCCATGTTCTAGGCACACGCTCACTGAAGTTAGGGCTTTCGATAACTACCAGCATCGAAGATTACTCTAAATATTTAAGATTTCGAAAATTTTCCTAGACAAACGCCTTCTCGATGACGTGGAAACAACTCTTGATAAGGAAGAAGGCTCACCATGAACTTCATATTTCCGGTGCCTGAAGCTTCCATACCTGCAGTTGAGATTTGTTGGGATAGATCGGCGCCAGGTATTATATACTGCGCAAAGGTGACGCGGTAGTTTGGGAGGAACACAACCTGGTAAAAATACGTACATTCATTATTAACCAGTTGAATGGATGTTTAAGACTACTTTTGGTAAATTTCATAGAGAAATAAGGTATAGCCTACGAATAGTAGGGACTTCAGTTAGGCCTCGTTATGGTTTTCATATATGATCATCACTGCTTTTAGTTGCTTTTTACATCCAAAATGAAGGATTCAAATTGATTC